AAAGAAATTAGTTAATTTTGCTTTTTTACTTCAAAGCCAAAGATTGCTTCTGCGTACCCCAAAAGTTTCGGTTTAATCCCATAATCAGGGATTTTTTTGCAAATTTTTAAATATTCATAAATCTGTAAAAGTTGATTTGAAGAATTCTTTATTGTTACTTGGCCTAGTTAACCCTTTTTCATTTTCCATATTTCAAGTGTTTCATCATAGAACAATTTTCAAAGGTTTCGGTATATTTGTTAAACAATTGCGACACAAACCGACAAAGCAAAACACTTTCCGCCCAACTTCAACAGCCAAACCGCCACAAAATTGAAATTTTGCGGAAAATATATGAATTTCCTGAAGAAAGTTACATTTAACACACGAGCAGAAAACACCCAGCGTTTTGTTCGCCGTTTTGACACCAAATAAAACGAAAATCAGATGAAATGATAAGCTGAACTGACCAACCAATCTGAGTCACAAGTCAGAGTTAAGAAGACGTAAGTGGAAGATTAGCAGATGCCTGAGAAGAACAGCGAATGCAGTTAAATAGAAGGTGATGAGCAAATGATCGCAAATCCATCTACAATTTACCGTCTATCTAGCCAAAACTGGCACCTGCAATGCTAGACAGGTTGGAACCGGAAGAGAGTCCACCTAGAACACCGGAACTACCGGTATAAAACGCACTTCTCACTTGCTGAGCGGCATCCTGCAAAGGTGAAATCACAGAAATCATGGCAATATCAACGGAAAAACCAGCAAAAACAGCCATATTCTGCATTCAACTCACTTGTATCGCGGATCCTAAAAAGCTAGATATGGCTCTGGTAACGTTAACAGCGGCAGTTAATAAGTTACTCCTGATCATGGAATCGCCTTGATCATCAATCCCCGGAATGGGATTGAGACTAACCGGAGGCATAACACGAGTCCGGGTTGTGGTTGATATTGAAGACGCATCCTCATCTTCATCATCATCATCAATACTGTTGCTGACACTCAACGTTGAAATCGTCGAAGCTTTTGGCCTGCGATTGATCTCAGCCAACAATCGATCTTTTTCAGTGCTGGATCTCACTCTAGGCGGCCTTAAATAGCTGAGAGTTACTACTGGGCGTGTTCTCCTCAAATTGCCTACCTAGGCGTGGCTCTGGACGTAGCTCCATGTTGCCCAGTGTGAGTGACCTGAACGCCTTCATTCACATTGATCAAATTCTGCAGGCTTTTGATCTTGGAAAAATCCAGCTGATCTGCGGCGTCCGGGTCGTTCTGAACTGCCTCCAGTTGCTTGATCAACCCCTATAAAATTATCGACCACATGGATAGATGGGAAATTCACCCACCAACTAGACTTGCCTGGATTTCATCCTGAGTCAGGCTGGGTTTAGTCACAGGTGCAGCCGTCACCATTGGAGTGATTCTAGTGGGCTGATTGGACAAGATTTCATCATCTGCAGCATTTGGTTTGGACGCAGCTGGCTTGGAAGGCGCCTTCCTGGCTGTGGGCTTCTTGGTGGTGGGAGGATCCAAGATGTCCAACAACCAATTAAGCCCTTGCATCAATCTGCCTCCTACTGGTCGGGAAGTGGTTGCAATCGGTCTGGATTTGGGCTTCGGCTTCTTGGTGGTGGGCGCTTCCTCAAAAATTCCCTGGAAAACTCCAAACCTGCCCACTATGTCCCGGAAACAACCACATTAACTTACAGCCTCCTTGACTCTTTCCCCCAGAATTTTGGGAGTAGTGGGGCCAATCCCGTGCTCCTTTAAAATAGCAGCCAATAGTGCCTCATCGGTTTTCCCATACGTGGATGTTAATGGAGCGGGGGTTGACAACCCATCCAGGTTGTATTGCTTCAAAATATCCTCCAAAGAAGGCGTGGTTTTTTTGGTGGCGTCCTCCACATGAGTGATCGGCAACTGATCTTGAATGGAATTAGGGCGGCGCTTAGTGGTAGTTTGAGGCTCCTGGGTGGTTGTCATGGAGCGCGAGCGATCCCGCTCCATTGCCATTGCAATTACCTAAGGGAAAGCCACCGAAGGTGTGAACGAGTGAAGGTTGTTTCAGGAGGAGGTTGATTTTACCCTATTGGCCAAGCTGCTGCTGCTAGCACTTAGGGGATTGGGCATAGGCGACAAAGTAGGCGCTCGGACGTTCGGGGGCGCAAACTGAAACAAGTCATGTTTAAGTAGCCAAAACTTCCCTTCCTAGAAAGTCCTAATGGACTCACCATTGTTGTTAGCAAACTCAGCTGCTTCAATAGCGCAGCTTGCTCCTTCTCAATCTTCTCAATCTCCGCCAGATTTCTCTTCTGCTCTTCATTCAGGTTGTTAAGCTTGCCGCTCTTCTTCAGCTCCTCGAACAGTTTGTCTGTGTCTTCTTTGGTGCTGGCCGGCTTGGGTTTAGGAGTTGTGGTAGTGGGCGTTTCAGTCGTAGGAGGAGGGGCTTGGGTAGTGGTCGTGGTAGTGGTGGTAGAGGTGGTGGTAGTGGTTGTAGGGGTAGTGGTGGAAATCCTCTGCGTTGAGGGAGATTGTGAAAGGATCACTGTGGGTCGGGCCTACAAAAAATTGCAAATTCACTCACAACTGAACTGATTTGAGTAGAGAGTACCCAATTAGAACCCCACAACAATTCTGAGTTTTACACGTCCGCTGCCCACTGACTGAAATATTGCCTGGATAAACCTAAGTGGAGAAAGGTGCTAAAAGTGCTACAGTTACTGTTAATCCAGTGCGAGAAACAGAAGTGAGTTAGGTTAGATTATTGCTAGTAGTGGTTAATAATGTTGACAACCCCCTGATCAATATGTAGGGTGTTTGTTGGTTTTAAGATGAAATAAATCCTAGATTAGTTTCTTCTTCTACAGATGGTTCTTCAGTTGTTCCTGAAATTGTTGTGGAGTCCCAGCGTTTGCAAACAACCAAATACATACTGTGGTTCCAGCAGCGGCTAAAACCTCAAATCTGTCCGAGAGGCTGTTCGAAACATCCACTGGTCGACTGTTTTCTTGAGGACTGATCGTTCCCCGGATTAAATTGGGAAATAGCGTAGTCAAAAAGGTGGGCAAAATACCCGAAGGAGTAAACGAAGGGAAGCCAGTTGTGCTCATTAGTTTCCTAGTCGTGGTTTCAACTCTTTTAGTGGTAGTCGGCCTCTGAGTTGTTGTGGTTGTTGTGGTCGTCGTAGTCGGCCGAGGCGTGGTAGTAGTTGTGGTGGTGGTAGTGGTGGTGGAAGTGGTTGTGGTGCTACTCTGTGTGGTTGGTTCTGGAGTGGTGGTGCTTGCAGGCGCAAGAGTCGACATAAGAGTAGAGGTAAAGAGCTGTAACAGTAACATGTGGATGAGGGTTTTCAAACAAACGGAGAACGGAGCTTACCAAATCATCTGTAGTGGGTACAAAGGTGGTTTTTTCAGTACTCAGAATGGGTGAAGTAAATGGTGCCATTGTTTCACTAGTTTGGAGTGTGGTAACAGTGCTGGGTTCAGCAGTACTAAGAGCTAAAGAGTTCTAAAAAGAAACGAAAATCTGACTCACTTTATACTCGATTAATTTGATTGAATTCGATTCCGCCCATTACTACCCTGAATAGTTGAACCCAACTACAGCACCAGTTTAATTAGGGATATTGTTACGAGAAAGTTATGCGTGCAATGAGTCAATGATGTAAAGAATGGATGGATTTCTACGGGATGCTCCAGCTTATTTTCCTCAAAAATGGCTGAAATTGAATGGAAATTGAAAATAAACTGGAGCCCTCTTTAAATGTGAACTGGTCCTGGACAAATCATGCGATTGTTGGAACCAACTAAATGCTAGTGTCAGTGTTTAGTAAATTCCTAAAAAGTAAGTTCAGTCGGTAAGTCAGATGTGAGATTTTCTACAACTCTACATTTGGTCGCAATTGAAATTAAGGTTTTAGTGGGTTTAGTTCGAAAGAACCAATTAGAGGCCCGATAGAGGATTGCATCCATGTATCCATTCACTTGCCTTGATACTTTTGTATTCGGCCTTCGTTACAGGCTTCCAACGATAAATAACGTTCCCGTTGTTGCGATTTATCAAGTCCTGTATGTTCAGTACTTCGTTATACTGTCGACAAAGTGATGGGATGATTTAAGCAAATTAAGCAACAATTTCATCAAATTAATTGAAAGAGAAAGTTCTTAAAGTGACGCAGTCACGCATGAGGCTAACAACGTCCTTTCCTCACCTGATTGACTTGCAAAGTTTTAAAGTTAGGAACCTGTGTGGTTGTGGAAGTTGCATCTAACTTGATCAGATTGTTCAAGGCATCTACAGTTCGGCCATTGAGAATTTCCCCTAAAGTTGGCGGAATCGTTTCAGTACTTTGCCACATTGTGCTCGTTGCCATTGTACTGGGCTGGGTTGTACTGGATTCTGCCTGAGTGGTGGTTTCTAGTGCTTTGCTTATTCGCATTTCCCCAGGTATTGCCATTATGCGCACCACTCCAGGCTCTACAGTAGTACTAGCCGTTTGCATAGTGGAAGTACTTGGCAAAACTGTACTGGTTGAAACAGTCGTACTGGCTGTTGTTAATGGGGCAAGAGTTGTAGTTGATGGGGCAGAAACTGTAACAATACTAGTTGAAGTTGGTTGCTGTTCAGTTGCAAGCAAACGAGACATTCGGTTCGATTCAACCTAAAAGAGAAAGAAGGAAACCATGTTGAAATGTGAGCAGAAATAGGTGCGAAACTTGCAGCTAATCAAGCAGTAATCAATGGTAATGGCTGTAACCCAGGCTGTTATAATGGCGAATGAATGTTAAGAGATGAGGAAAAATTGATTTTTTACTTCTGATGGTGACTGACCTAATTTTTTAAAAGTATTTTGGTTTACTTTAGCAATTTAGAGTGAAAATCTACTGTTTTTATCCATGAAATATGCCGAATTTCAATCGTTTAATGTAAAAAAACAGACGTTCAGTTTGTTAAGCAGAATTTGAAAATTTGATATACACAGGATGTGTTTGGTATGAACGTTTCGATAGCATACATGGCTGGCCTGTTCAGACGTTTCACCACTATGAAGCCACGTTTTTATACATACCGGAAAACCTATTGGGTCAAAACCAATATGTTGAACTCGAAAAACGCGCATGCAAAATTCCAATTTTTGACCCAATTTTTTCTAAAGGTGGAGGTCGATTTTTCACAAAAAATTTAATTGTCTTAAAATGGTTCCAATTGTACATCAATTTAATTTCAAGGAAGCCAGGAACGCAACGAACGCATTGAAAAATTGGCTTGAAACTTTAGATCCAAATAAATCCAGGCTTTTTGCCCAAATTAAGCGGTTTTTGGACGTTTGCGATTTTAAATAGACGCTATTTTTCTTCTTGAGTACCCAAACACGGTTTTTTGCATATTGGAGAGCTTATTGGGTCAAAAGCAATATGTTGAGCTCAAAAAACGCGCATGCGAAATTTTCCTAAGGTTGGAGGTCGATTTTTTCATTCTCTTCTTCTGCATTCTCTTAAAATGGTACTAATTGTACGTCAATTGCATTTCGAGGAAGCGAGGAACGCAACAAACTCATCGAAAAACTAGCTGGAACCTTTAGATCCGAATAAATCGATGTTTTTTGCCCAAATTAAGCGGTGTTTACACGTTTGCAATCTTAAATCGACGCTCTTTTTCTACTTGAGCACCCAAACACGGTTTTTTGCATATTTGAGAGCTTATTGGACCAAAAGCAATATATTGAGCTCAAAAAACGCGCATGCAGGGTCGGTGTCGATTTTGTCAGAAAAATTTATTTTTCATAAAATGGTTCTAATTGTACTTCAATTTCATTTCGAAAAACTCGCTGGAAACTTTAGATCCGAATAAATGGGTGTTTTTTGCCCAAATTGAGCGGTGTTTGGACCTTTGCCATCTTAAGTCGGCGGTATTTTTCTTCTTGAACACCCAAGCACGGTTTCTTGCATATTGGAGAGCTTATTGGATCAAAAGCAATATGTGAGCTCAAAAAACGGGCTGCAAATTTATTCTCTTAAAATGGTTCTACTTGACCATTAATTTAATTCCAAAGAAGCGAGAAACGGAACGAACTCATTGAAAAACACGATGGAAATTAGATCCGAATAAATCGATGTTTTTTGCTCAAATTAAGCGGTTTTTGGACGTTTAAGATCTTAAGTAGACGCTATTTTTCTTCTTGAGCACCCAAACACATAATTCTCTTAAAATGGTTCCAATTATACATCAATTTAATTTCGAGAAAGGGAGGAACGCAACAAATTCATTGAAAAACTGGCTGGAAACTTTAGATCCGAACAGGTCGACGTTTTTGTCCCATTTCAACTGCTTTAAAAGACGTGAAACGTCTGAATATGCTAGCCGTGCGTGATATCGCAACATCAATACAAAATACATGTCTTTGACGACCTCATAATCTGAAAATCTTCCATAATTGATAGTAATAAAACATTTTATTTTGGGAATGTTGGCCGCAATTAAATCCACGTTTAAATTCCACCTCCAAAAACTGATATTTTAACTTTTACAAAATTTCAATAAAAATTGAAATGGAAAATTTAACGCTCTGTATTTCAGTTCGCTCAGGCCTGTTGCTAGATTAAAATATATTATTTCTATTTATGTGAATCCTGTTTAAAAAGCAAAATCGCATTTTTCCTCGTTTCCACTCGGAGTACCAATCAATTAAACACGCTACAAAGCACCAAACTAGGCAAACAAAAAGCCAAACAATCAACCACCAACAAAATCAATTAATAACAAACATTTAAACAAATAAAATAAATAAGTCGGTGTGTAAGCGTGCAGAGAAAGCGAAAAAAGCTGGAACCGAATTTCTTGGCTAGGAATCCGAGTGTTTTGGTGACCATGATCGTCTACAACTATGATGAACTGGAAAAGCCCTGGATAGCGGAAACTATCCAGAACTTTTCGCGGATTTTGCAACCTCTACCAGCCCACCCTTACACCTCCCACTCTCTACAACACAAGGGGTGAATACCGTAGCTGAATTATTGTCCAGGGGAGTCATTCCATTGGTGGTATCTGTTACTTGGTTACTTGTTATTTCGACCAAGGGCGGGGGATTAGGCCTGATATCAAAGCCCCTAACCTTTATCACGGGGTCCATTGGAACCAACGTTCCATTCGGGAACTTCCTAACAACCGTATTGTTCGGAAACAGCCCCACCACTATGAAGGGCGTGTCCTTATTCGGTATGGTGGGAGGCCGTTTACGTAAAATCGTGTTATTGTTTAGAACTGCAAATATGAAATAGTCAGGAGTGGTAGAAGTGGTCGTGGATGGTGTGGAAACGTCCAGGCTGTTTCCTATTGGTTCGCCCACGTCACTCGACAGGATTCTACCAGACCTGGGGGATGGTTTAGCACTGGTGGTAGTGGTGGTTAGAATTACGGTGGTTGAATCGGGAGTATTAGTTAGGGTGGTGCTGCTGTCGACTTCAGTCGTTCCCTCAGTGGGTATGAGGGTAGTCACTCCCATATCTGTGGTGGGCAGCCCTGGACTGGTGCTGGGTTCCACTGTAGTGGCACTTTCAGTCGTTTCAGTGGACGTTAGCAGATTGTTATCAAACCCTACTCTACCGGCGATAGTGACGGTGTTAAACAAGTTATCATCAACAGTTACTGAGTTAACCAGGTCATTAGCTGAGAAAATTGAAACACTTCCCGGACTCACTTGGAACATTGGAATAGTTGGCACCGTTGTGGACTCACTAGCTGTGGTAGTGGTTGTGGGTAAATCAGTGGTGGTGGTAAGTGGTAAGCTCGAAGTGGTTTCACTACCACTCTCACCAGCAGTGGTTGTAATAGCGGGAGTAGTGGTAGTTTCCATTTGCGTTAAAGTAGAAGACTCGGTATTTACATCAGTAACAGTAGTGGCAGCAGTAGAAGTAGTGAGAGGTGTGGTATTTACAACAAGAGAAGCCGCAGTGGAAACATCAGTAAACCGAGGCTGTAACCCATCAAAAGTCACAGCTTCGATGGGTTCTTGTGGTGAAAACGTGGTGGAAACAAAGCCAGGAGATTTCGGAGTGACAACCACAAGGTTTTCGTTTTGATCGGCCGGCGGGTTGGTTGAAACCAATCCATTCAAGATATCTAACAGTTTACCAATGGTGCGTTTCTCTAGAACCTCGTTTTGGTCAATGTCGGGAAACGCGGTCAACGGATTGATGGGAGTGCTCAAAGCCAGTGGTGCAGGAAGCGCAGTAGTACCTACAGAACTACCCCTAAATTTGGCCGAATATTTAGTTACAGTGGACAGCGGAGTAGTAGATGAACTGCTTACTGTATTCAAATTCGATGTACCTACTTCGTTCGTTTGGATCGCCGTTAAGGAACTACGGATTTTCTCGATAATTGTTGTCGGTTTTTCGCTGGTTATTGTCTCGATAATGTTTGTCTGAATGTCGGGTGTGGTCTTGTCTTTAGGGGTCGTTTTTTTGGTGGCCAGTTTCAATATGGCCGAGTTTTCCGACGCTGCATTAGGTGATGATGGTGGAAGATTGGATGTGGATGTGTTTGGGGCCTCCGTGGTCGATATCATTGTTATCGAGTTGATTATTCGCTCGATTATCGAGACTGCTTTCTCCGTGGTGCCATCCTTTGCCTTGGGAGGGAGAAATAAAAAGAAACTGTCAGATGCATGATTCTTTTCCAAAGAAACGTTCTAAAAGCGTTTGAAACAAGATGTGGAAAAGGAACTTTTCTTTGTTACGATGACAAATTTACTTCGAGGCAATCACGCTCTGCATTTGATTTGAGGCATTAACAAACTGTTTGCTTTTTTGAAATTTAGACGCAAATCTCATCTTGTACAGAAACATTGCCGTATTTTGATCGAAAGTACAAGTTCCGAAAATCCGTGTATTTTTGGCGCAAAACTGAGCGTTTTTGCTAAGCTAGTTTTTGACCAGAAAAACATATTTTTTTCAAGTTTATTCCGATTTTAGTGAGCATTGATGTTTAAGCACAGTGTAGCCCAAATACGAAGCTTCCATTTTATATAAATTCACATTGAACAGAGCAGAAGCTGATCGGTTGAGAACTTCCTCACCTTGAAAAGCCCAACTTTTGCACATCATTCGTAAACAATTCTAAACTTCCAAACTAATGAGTAGTTTTACTTAATATTTGCGGAGACCATAGGCGAAACAACAGCTTTAATTGGACTTAAAATTGAGCTTTGAGCAGGTCCCAAACATGAACCAAAAAAGAGCAGTTTGCATATCGTTGGAGCAAAACGGCCCACTTCCAAAAGTCTTTATGCTTCGATATTATTTTTCGCACTATTTAGCTAATACGTAAAACTATAATATTCCGTACATTTCAGTTGAATTGGTGTTGAAGCTAAATCTACACTTGGCTTTCAGGCACCTGCCAGACTTAAATCAGCAAAGTTCAATCTGCCAACATTTGAGAAAAAATTTCCCACTTTCAAAATACTTTGTTTTATAAACGTTGTATAAAATACATAAATTTCCAAAATATAACTTCAATCGCTCTAGAAATTGATTTTTAAACATGCCTTGGCAACTTGAAAAGCGGCACTTGGAAGTGGAAGAGATTTCTCGGCAAAAATTCTGAACTTCCAAATTAATAAAACTTTCAATATTATATTTATTGAAAACACAACCAAAACAATGAGACATAATAGTAAAAAAGTTGACTGCAATTACAGTTAAAACTCAATTTTCGGAACCTTCCAAACTTGAATCAAAAAGTTTAATTTGCCGACGTTAAAAATTACCGACTTCCAAAATCCTTGTTTTTTTTAATATAATTTTTTCACACTGTGTAACTAATATATAAATTTATGAGTTTCCATAATATTTTTTCAGTCGCAGTGAAAGTTGATTTTTGAAAATTTTTTAACATGAACGTGAAAAGCAGAACTTGCAAATCCCTAGATAAACCCTCGAAACTTCTAAATTAATCGAACCTTCAATATGATATTTACTGCTTATATAACCAGCATAAATAAGTATAACTGGAAAAAATTTCACTTCAACTGAATTGAAACTGAATTTTCAGCATCGTCCAAACTTGAACCAGAAAATCTTTCAATCAAAATGCAGACACTTTGGAAAAAATGGCGCTCTGCCTAAATATTTCGATCTTTTTTTTTCGCACAGTGTAGCCAATATGTAAGATAATGAGATTTTATGATATTATTTCAATTGAAGTGGAAACTGATTTTTCGAAAAATTTCCCAACCTGACCCTAAAGAGCGCAACTCGGATAAATCACGGGATAAACATTCTTAACTTCCAAATTAATGGAACACTCAATACGAAATTTACCGAAAAATTAACCAAAATGCGAGGGTACAACTGGAAGAAAATTCAGTTGAATTGGGGTTGAATTTGATTTTTCAGCAGCTTCCAAACTTGAACCAGTAAAGTTCCATTTGCAAACGCTTGGGAAAAAATGCCCCACTTCCAAAAAACTTTAGACTTTGATATTATTTTTTCGCACTGTGCAACCAGTTGATTAACTTTTGAAATTTAAAAAATAGCTGCATAAAGACGATAACCTGATTTTTGAAAAAAAATCCAACATGACCCTAAAAGGCACAACTTGCAGTTCTCTAAATAAACATTCGAAGCTTCCAAATCAATGGAACTTTCAAGAATATTTTTACTGAAAGTAAAACTATGAAAGTGGGTACAATTATAAAAAAGTTCACTTCATTTGGGATGGAAACGGAATCAGAATAAAAAAAATCAGTTTCCTAACTTGCGCCACAAAAGTTTCACTTGCAAATCCTCAAAAAATCGAAAACTTTCAACTTCCTGACACGATTTCTTGAAAACTTGATAGAAATGTTCGTTTAGTGAAGATTTTGCTATAAGCAATCAACGCTGCATCAACTTGATTTTGCACCAAGAATTACATAGTTAAATTGAGTACGAGCTTTTAGCAAACACCCAGTATATTTATTTAGCCGATAACATAATGCGCTTCTCTAGTCACTTTTATAGATTCCTTTTCCACACCTACCTCTTTTAAAGTTTTCTTTCCAAAACAATCAAACTCTTAACAGTTTCTTTTTATAGTTACCGTGGCAGTGAGTTTCAAATTTTTATCGGTGGTCAAAAACTCTCCATTAACCAAATCGGCCGATGCAATGCTATTAACTGGATCATCAAAACTGATCACTTCGACGCCCAGATCATCATCTGTAACTGCAACGACGCCATCCACCTGAAAGTGTCAGTCAAAAAAAATAATCATCAATAAAAAATTGCGGAAAAAACGCTTAGTTGATCCTTTGTCGAACTTAACAATCTAAACCGGATGGAATTGATTTTGGTTGGGTTGTCTTGGGCTGTGTGGTTTATTTGGTAATCCCCCCACGTTAGAATGTGCGGTATAGACAGTAGAAACTCAAAGTGCAAAAACCATTCCAAATTTGTATAAGTATTATCAGTAAATCAAGGAAGGATTCAAGAGGAATCAACTAACTCTAGCTAGGATATTAGTAAGTTTGAGAAGCGAATCAACCCGGTTTGAGATATTGTTAAATTCAAAAAGGATTCAAGAACTTTAAGGCGGTTTAATAGGAAAACATGCGTACACTTTATGGTCAATCGTTTATAAGTAAGGATGTTTTTGATTTTTGTGCCGCAAGAATGGGAAATTGCTTGCTTCAAGCCGTGACCTCTGAAGATGCACCACGCTCATGCTAGATGGGAAACCTCAGATCGTCATGGATTCCCATCCAAAAAATTAAGAGGCAGAAAATGTTCTGTAATTTTCACCCTCTTTTGATTGAAGAGCTCGATTACATCAAAATTCAAGCTGAAAACTAGCATAGAAAATGAGATGAAAGAAGCAACAAACAATTGCGCAAACTGAGCGTTTGGTAAAAAATGCCCGAAGAAAGATTAAAAGAAACCTATTATTCATTGTTCAAACAATCCAGACAAAGAACTAAACAAAGCCAACAGACCAACGAAAAACTTTAGAGAAAGCAACAAACTGCAGAATAATTTGCTACAGTTTTTCGCGTGAATATTGGCTGTTTTTGCCACGACCACTTTTGATCGATTACGGCATTACTGACAGATGCATTGTGTTTGTCCAAGTTCTGCTCTCTAATCGGTATGGGAAATTTGCAAAATGTATACTAAATATCAAAGTCATTGACTAAAATGTGAAATTCCTATGAAAAGTGTACGCATGCTGAAAAAAGTTAAATTCCTTCCTAACCATTGTGGTTACGCCAAAACCGAGTAAATGGTGCAAAATAAGTGCGAAACAGTTATTAATGTGCCGTGTATGTACAATAGAACAGTACAATTAAACACAAATATCTGAGTTTCTCAAAATTGCTTTATTACAAAAAATAAAATAGTACACCTTAAGAGTAAAACTAGATCATGTTAGTCGAAACAGTGGACGGTTAAATGAGGTTTGTATGATGGGTATGAACAAGACAAGAATTAGTGCAATGGCAATGTAAATCCAAAACCCATGTGTATGAAACTTTAGCGCCTTTGGCAAACACTGATCACTGATCAAAGGTTTTGGACCTTTACAAAACTACCCCAATTTGTACAACAGTCAGATGGCCAGAAAAGGTGTCTCCTGAACTAAACGCTAAAAGTGTATCCAGAATTGCAGTGTCGGTTTAAAAAGTGTGCCGTCATTTTCTCACTTAATACCAGGTGTAGTCAAATGGTCTGTGATCGTACCATATCACTCTCTCCTTAGAAATACAAAATCATCGTTATTAAGGCGTACTATTTTATTTTTTCCCTTATCAACTAGTCCCTATCTTCCTTAAACTGGAACCCAGAGTGGTACTTACGGGTGTTACGGGTGGCCTAAGTGTGGGAACCGTCGGCACATAGGCAGGAGTCGGTATAGTAGGAATGTAAAACGGAGCACTGGTAGTTGACTTTAGTACCGAGCTTCTGCTAGAGGTGTCCAGACGATATCTAGAACTGTATCTGCTGGTGTTGAATTTTTTGATTGGCTGCACCGGTTTAGGGCTCTACAACACCCACCCCATTCAATCATTTCCATATAAAAACCCCCAAAACTAACCTGAGCTACTCCAATCGCCTCTACTTCCTTGTCCACCCGCTTACTACTGTAGAGCCCCTTTGGTTGTGGTCCTCCCACAGTTTTCCCATTACTCAAACCATCAGTTTCCTTTTTCACGAACTTTGCCGAAAACTTGGTTTCTTTAGTAACCACACTGAGTGGAGTGGTAGGAGGAGGACTGGCAGTTGATCGAAGAGTTTTTCTCCTCACTTGATGGTCAACCGCGTTTCGAGGGGCGTAGCTTTTGCGGGACGCCGATGTTGGCTTGGTGGAGAGTCTGGATTTGGCGTTTTTTTCGGAAAACTTTGGCAATTGACGAGGCCGAGTTGGTCGAGGAGTGGTGGAGGTGGTGGATGGTTGCTTCGGTTTAGGATCCAACTCGTTATCGTTATCGTTTATCTAGAAATAGAGTAGGAATTCTGAAGTATCAACCACAATGAAACACCAAAAACCATTCATTCTGGCGGGTTGAAATCAATTAGGTTTTGACGAAAGCAGGTTCGAAACCAGTGCCTGAGATTGAAAGTTGCTCGCAGCTGCAATGGGGAAAAATTGGATTCATCTTGGAAAAGATTAGGGGTAAAGCTGAAGCATCTTTACATATACAAAGCGTTTTGGCATGGATTAATAAAAGCTGTTGGATTCTAAGAAAATTTCAATTTAGTCGTTTGATTTATGTGAACCGACTGGCCTTCCATAAAAAACGTAACATAATGAAACCAACAAATATTGCAATTAAACAAGTAAACTTTAAGCGAAAACTGGTTCAACAGCACAATGTAAAATTGCCGGTGCCAGAAACAAGTTTTATTAATTGAACTGTATGAAAGGAAAGTGCGATTGACTGCCGGCTTTAATGAAACAGAGGCGGATTTGAGAATATTCGGATACCTAAATAAGTTTCTGAGAAATTTAAGATCTTAGCCATTACATAACTGACAAAGCAGTTTAAACCCACATAATTTTGCTGCTGGCTGTATTGTGTCGTAATAATCCGCAAGTTCAGATTAGTTATGAAAAGCAAATGCAATTAATTCGTTTAAAAATTCACTTTGCAACATAAATTCCCGTTGAAGCCATTAAAAGTGGAATAGTGACACGCCATTAGATGCCATTAAATAAAGTGGCGCTCACGAGTTTTGGAAATAGTTGCTAGATAATTTGCAGTTTTGCCTTCAATGGGACGAGTGGAAGAATCAAATGTCGTCCATTCTTCTTCTCAACCCTTGTTAGTCGGGGAATATTAAAAAATGCAGAACCTCTTCCACGTTCTTCCCAGAGAGTTCAAGCTCACTTTAGGTCCTCGTGTTGTTTGCAGCAAATCTTCGCATTTTAATTTCCCAATCCTTTGTGTCTTCAGTTGAAATATGTAGCGCCACCTAAATCGTGCAGAAATGCTACTTACGATTTCATTGATATCTTGCGACCTCTTAGGAATTCCAGTGATGGCACGTGCTGAAGAAGGTGAAGATCTAGGTGAAACAGTAGAAGTCACGACCAGTTTTTCCGTGGTGCTGGTCTTGGGGGTCACCGTAAAGCTCTTCAGTGAAGGTTTTGTCGGTCTCACTTCACCCTAGGCATAAAAGTGAAAACATTTGTAGAAAACTTGAGAAGAATAAGTAGCAAAAGATGCAAAAACAATAAGTACAGGATGTTGAGGAAGTGCTGCAAATGTGACAATATAAGCTCTTAACAAAACACTCTGAACTCTCATTGGAGATTTTGAAAATGTGATTAAAGGTTTTAAAGCTGAGTTCAAAACTGGTTATAAAATACAAGATGTTGAGAAAACTGCTGCAAAATTGCTACTAAACGCACCTTAAGATCAAGAAGAAATCATCAATTTTGCCTCAATTGAAAATACTGCATTGCTTTCGAATATTTGATTAAAGTTTTGCAAGCTAAGTTTAAACATGTTTATAAAATACAAGATGTGGACAAAAATCCTGGAAAATTGTCACTAAATGCTCCTAACACAAAACAGCCGGCTCCTAACTTTGACCGAAAATCAAGAATTGAAACTTTTCAAACTGAAAACTTTTGTAAATTTGATCAAGTTTTTTTCTTAAAGTTGAAAACTGTTTGTAAAATATAGGATGTTGAGAAAATTGCCACTAAAGCTGCTCTTAAAGTCGAAAAAATAACTTGAAATAAAGCCTCAATAGGAAATTTTAATTCATTCTTGAAAAGATTATTACATTTTTCAAAAACTGAGTTAAAAGCTATTTGTAAAATACAAGATGTTGAGAAAATGATGGAAAATTGCCACTAAACACGACAGTCCACTTTTAAGGTTGAGGAAAGATCGAGAATTAGAGCCTTAATGGAAAATTTCATGGAAGATTTGAAAGCTGAGTTCAAAGCTGTTTGTCTAGAAACTTAATTGAGGATTTCTATTGGTGTTTGAAAATTTTATCAGCATTTCCATTCGGTTTCAATTCCCTAAAACAAAGACACTTAGTAGAGGCAAAGTGATGGCTAAGAAAGTCATCCTATATATCAGCTTCCGGCTAATTTTGCCATCCGCATAATCGCGAAAGTAAAAGCTTCGAGAGCTTGAAATTGGCATTTGTGTAGCTTAAATTAATTACGACTGAGCAATTTTCTACAGCTAAAAATCGATTTCCGCTCTGGTATTTAGGCCTAAGGAAATCGATTGAAAAGCGGTTGCACAAAGTAAAGAAATTAATAAAGCCATAATGAGGAAAGAATATTATTCAAATAGCCGAATTTTATGTTGATATTGCGATAGCCGATGATTTCTTGTTACAGTTAACGGTGGTTTCGAACCGTTCATAATTTTTAGACAATTTAAGAAACAATTATATCTGTTGCATTAGCAGCTTGAGGCCTGATTCGGACCAGTTTGTTTAAGCGCCGGCTTTACTGACGAACGAAAATCTGATTGAATCGCAACCATTGCCATCAATTTTGCGTATCGAATGATGAGAAAGTACCGGATGACGGAATCGATTTGCGCCAAACAATAAAGTTCAAATGCAATTTAATCGGCATTACCTAACGTAACATGAGGAGAGTCTGAGACAATGCTTTCTTTCCTTGGGGTATTCGTTGGATCCCAAGACCGTGACCGAGAAAACACGCTGAAGACGGTAACAATGAATGGGCCATCGACATCTTTGTGTTGATTTTACTATGCTGGTTCAAGGACGCCGGGAATTTTAAATTAAGAAAACGCTTCAAACCTACCTTAGATTTCTTGGCCTGGATCAGCGCCTTGAATGGTTCAGGGTAGTTGTCCTCCTCACCAACATCCTCCTCTGAACTCCTACTCTTTTCCTGTGGGTTTAGTTCAGCCTTCTTGTTTCCTCTCGACAGCATCTCTGCTGCTTTAGCCTTCGAAACCTTCTTCCTCCGTGTGATGGTGCTTTTGGAAATGACCTGGTTCACTTCCGAAACCACTGATTCCTTGATTCTTGGCGACGTTTTTGCTCGGGTTGTCGTTTCAGGGGTTGGTGAAGAGGATTTAGGCGCTTCAGTCGAAGAAGTAACCCGAGTGCTCAGTCGAGCTCTACCAGTACTCGCTTCCACTGGTTCAGCCCTTGTGACGGTCACTCGGGAAAATGCGCTGGTTGTGGGCTTTTCCACGAATTTTACATCATTCTCCGTTGCACTCACATGCATGTGATCCACGCTGCTTCTTCTACTGACGCTCGATCTGCCTCTACCTCTAGATCGGGTTGAAACTAGTGATTTGGGTTCCCGCTCAAACAACGGAAGCACCTCCAGCTTGGTTTCGTCGATTATCGGAGGGGAAATTGGGAACCGGCTTCTCGATCTAAAACTCTCTTTTAGTGGCTTCCTTTCAACTGCTGACTTAGCTGTGGTGGTGGTCGAACTCGAAGTTTCAGGCGCGTCGGTGCTGCGAGACTTTTCGCCGTAAAACACCGTGGTGTCTTCGACAGATTCTTCCAAACGGGCAGGGTTTCTACTTCTTGATGACGGCGCCTCTTGAGGTTGCGTGGCAAACCTGCTTTGGCCCCCTTTTCGCCTTGCTGGGGCTTCAACTAAAGAGCCTTCCCGCCTGGTGGTTGACCTTTCCCGAGAGCTTCTGTCTTCATTGGTCGCCCTTCTGCTGCCTTCTTCACTGCCGCCCCTTCTTCTACTGCTACTCGGTTTGCTATTAGGCGTTTCCGTTGGGCGTCTTTGTTCAGCACGTCTTCCTGCAGATCGGCTGGTTGATGCAGTAGGGGTTTCAGTTCTCGACCTTGCACGCCCTCTACTTGCCTTTTCCCCCACATTGGAGCGTTCAACTGAACTAGGGTCAGAAGTAGTTGCTCTTCTTCCAGAGCTTCTACTTCTTACGGTTGTGGATTCAGGAGTTAAGTCTACAGGCACGCGTTCAAATTTGCTGTCGATTTTCCTACCTGGGCGCGACCTGGAAGTGGCGGCCTCAAACTGCTCCACTGTGGCAACTGCAGGGCCTCGAAAGCTGCTCTCTGCTTCTATTGAGTCTTCCAGTTTCCTCCTGCTAAAGCGAGGTCTGGATGAAGATGTTTCCCCGCTGGGCTGTGCAGGTCTTCTATTAGTAGTCACTCTGGATCTGAGTCTTGGAGCTGGTGAATACTCAACTACGCTCGGTCTGGGGGATGGTCTGCGCCCTTTAGAGACTACCCGATTTGGCTGCGCTGTTGTCGACTTGAGGGTGGAGGTTTCTTCGCTGAAGACCCCACCAGCTCCCTCCAGCAGATGCTGTGCTTCACTTGATATTTCCAATGGCTGTGTTTCTGTGACTAGTTCAGCTGCCTCGCTGAGTCCTTGCACTGGTTCTGGTTCCTCAGCTGGAGCTCGCACGTTTTCCTCAACTGCAGGTCTAACTTCAACTGGTTTTGCTCTGCTTCCAGGTCTAGATCGGGAGGGAGCAAGTCGTTCTGGGCTTGCTCTAACGGATGGAACAGGAGCAGAGCTACGCAAGTCTTCTCTGGTTAGAATGGGGGCTTCTGAGCGCAGCACAGTGGCTCGCTGAGGAATGTTGCTTTTGCCAGCAAAAGAAGCCTGAGCACTCCTAGAGGCGGCAGCCAAAGAGCGAATGGTGCTCCCAAAGTTGGTCAGAAGATATTCTTCATCCACTACAGGAGTGGTCGTTTTAGGCGGAAGAGTCTGCCCTCTAGCTTGCAGAATGGCTCTAGCTGTGCTTCCAAATCCCAGCTCATCCACTGGCAGTATATCTGCAACTGCAGGAGTTACAGCTGCTGAAGACACTTCTATTGCAGGTCTTCGACTGGGGGCTTCAAATCGGCTTTCAGTTAAAACCCTGGATTTGCTTTGTCGCCTGAATGAATCTATTGGAGAATCGTTGTTGATTTCTTCCACTTCATAAGATCTGGGCGCTTCCGTAGGGCGGGCACGCCGTTCAGCTGCAGCTTGGGGATTATTCGAATGGATTCTTGTCCTGGTGGAAGCTCGCCTGTTGGCGGTGGCTGGCGTCGATTGTTCTGCAAGAACTTCGGCCGCAGAAAAGCGCGCTCTGCCTCGCGTTCGACTTGGCGCTGGTTCTTCATTCTGAAACGCAAAATTGGTTTGCTAAAATTCCTTTAATCTAGGACGTTGTTAAACCGCGAAATTGGCAAAAAATGTGTCGATATCCTGTGCAAATATCGTGGCTGGGGTCCAATGCAGGTCTCGTACATGCGTCCACAAATTGTTCGGGTGTTTGCCTAATAGTGAAAGTATCAAAATCGGTATCGGTTAACGATTTTATCTGGGTTTCAGCTAGAATGGTTCAGTGAAAAACTATCGATCTTGTCAAAAGCGGCAATTGGGGGTTCTGCTAACCTTGGGGTGTTTAGCGAATGTTGCCAATCTATGTGGGAGACGCAGAGCGAACAAGCCGCTTGCAGCTATTTTTATTTAAACCCGCGGGCCTTTGCTCTGCAAACTCTGCCGATGTTCTTAAAATTAAAAACTGTCGACCCCATTGGCAACTTTAATATTCTTAGTGGTCTAAACAATTAATTAATTTCTGTTTTAATTAGTTACAACGAAAACATTGCTCCCAATTAGATTAGGACTATATTTCAATAAACGTACACTTGTAGTTTTAGATTTACGCCAAAAACCATTAAAAAACGTCGTTGCATCGATTGCTTTAAACTTCCAAGGCAGACACCATCAAGTTCCACTTCTGCCGTGTCCTTGTTAAGCCTTAAAACGGGAAAATATGAAAAAAAAATGTTATTGAGAAAGATATGGGACACACATTGCAGCCATGCTATGGCACTAATAGTGCCGTCGTTAAATTGATATCTGCACAGGCGCATTGCGGGTTTAGTAAGGCGTGCCACTAATAAGGGTGTGCCTGTCGCTATTTGTGCTCTCTTTACGCTTGGCACAATTTGACTCATATTTTACTTCTATATCAGTAACGCATTATCCATTGATTAAGCACCTTTAAAAGTACACTTTGTATACCCAGCGAGAATTTTTTTAAAGAAAGCATTTGGCTGAAATGATTTATTTTTGACCACCGTTCAAACAACGAAAAAAAATCTAATTTAAGTGGTATTACAATAAAAAATTGGGATTTTGCAGACCGAAGCTTAGACTAGATTTTGCAAAACTTTCAACTATATACCTACTTGGCGCGAATTAGTAGTTACCAATTTTTGAAAAGTAGGTGTTGGGCTAAAGACATTACTTTTTAAGCCCGTGTTTATATATAGAGCAGATTGCTGTGAAAGTCTCAAGTTTATACTTGCTCGGTATGAGTAAGAAACGTTAAAGTTTACCAAGCAGCAAAAAATCAGGCCTTTGCGCGATTGCTACCAACATTTCCAAAGTTTCAAACACAATTATCGAGTCAATCGTGTAAAAGTTTTATGATCCTACTTGGTCCATATTCGGAGTTACGATTTTTTTAAAGAAAGCTAGCATGTGCCTGAAAACTTTAATTTATATGTATTTTTATATTTTTGTTTACCCAGCAGAGAAAAATAAGAATTTAGTATCAATTTAAAGAAAATTTTACAATTTGTACTCCCAAGTTGCTGCAATTGATCTTTAAAAAGTCTTCAAATTAGCAACTAGCAAAATTGCTTACTACCTGATTTAATTGTTTAAAGTTGGTAGTTTTCGCGATTTGGACCGAGACCACGAAGACAACCGCTCGAGCTAGTTAAACGATTGATCAACCTATCTCATGATATAATAATTAATCAAATACCCATTTACTTGTTCGTTTTACATAATCTTCCTTGATTAACCCGTTTGATTGTCCGAACCGCAACGATTTTCTTGATTGCCACAGCGCCAAAGTTGCAAAAGACTCGATTTACATGCAGTGCCATAAAAAAATTGATACAATATTGCGGAGCCTTGAACCCAGTACCATTAGCTTGTCATGGAACTGTAATCGCATAATATTGTGAAAAACTGGGCTAGTTAGCTGACTGTTAGCAGCATTTTATGCTAATCCTGCTCAAAATTATTGCCCAAATAAAACCTGAAATAGCTAATGAAGACTTAGATCAAACCTTTGGAGAAGTCCTTGACTTTCAATGTAAAACCTCCATCTATTTTCTTTCTTATTCAACATTATTTGTGCTCTACTAGCTAAAAGACAATAGGAAGTCGAATGAAACAGACTCAAATTAGGAGCGGTTTTGCGCTTTGCTTGAATATTAATAGCGTTATTAAATAGAGTAAAAACAAGCGATAATGTATTTACTTATAGCGTGCGCCTATTTCTGTAAAGCCGCCACGCAAGAAGTTGGAAGCATGATTTCATTACGTGATCATTTTTCGTAATCACCGTCGATTCCATAACGTTCGAGATTCATGCAGAATGCGTTGATTTTTTCAAGTGAACACTAAACCCGGACTTTAAATCCGTTCATTTTGATCTTATTAAAAATTAATTAAACCAGAGAAGTCGCTTAAAGGACAGAAGTCGACCTTGATGGGTACTGGCTTGCAAGTATGAGAACAATCGATGTAGATCACCCTCAGGTTATTCAAACAACTTTTTTTAGTCTTTTTGGCATTAATCTGGAATTACCAGTTGGCATTTATTGAAACATTATTCCCAGTACAAGTCAACATATTTTTATCCCCGAAATCATTGCTTGCCTAAAAGAACTTTTTCAAAAAACTCAAATGCTCTACTGTTGGTCCCAAAGTCCCAAAGTTTTCAGACGTTAAACAGCCATTTTCTAATCTGGTTGCAATAAGTAGATTTATTTTTGAGGAAACAAACTCGGAACTTATCACGTACCAAATGCGATAATCTCCTCGGCTTCAAATGAAAAATGAAACTGTCGTTAAAAATATATATTTTAAACGCCCAAGTTTTAAAATTCCTCCGATTTTCTTTCCAGAAATGCAATTATTTACCAATTTTCTGCAATTAACTGACTGTTCCCAATTTCTTGGTTTGAAGCATTTCAAGCAATTCAAGTGAAATTGGGAATTTGGGGAAAAACTAGGTTATTGACGAAATGTGTTGAATCAATGTGTCTCGGGAAAGGACATTGGCAGCAGTTTGGGCGCAAAACTAAATAAGCTCAAGCAAAAATCCCACTCTCAATTCCAAAATTTAAAATGTTCTTCTCCTTTATCCGATCTACTTATGCTTTGAACTAATTTAAAAATCGATTTTTGTGTTTCAGATAAAACGACCATTCTTCAATTAGGTAAGCAGTATATATGAATGTACGGTTGAGGAGAATTGATCAACATTTTCCAAATAAAACAACAAAGTATCGCATAATTAAGCTGAATAAAAAGCGGACTTTTAAGGCGTAGAAGCCTTGTTGTATCAGCAAATTCAATAAAACATCGCTCTTTGTGAGGGTAGTACACAAAGAAGTATTTGGCTCTAGTGGAAAGACCAAACCTAATTTCTTTAGAGACTCGTTTTTGTAAAAAACATGCTGTTGCACTCATTTTGCTTCCGGTTTTGTTGAATCATTTTGCTGTAAACTAGAAAAATCAGTTTTTTTAACCATTCAATCATAAACGACTATTTGGATCGGAAGACTAGAAATTATGGGCTGATTTCACAAAAGGATTCGTTGATTGCACGTTGCACACAAAAAGCCGTTATTATCACCAAACCGACAATAATTCGGAATGAAAAAAGAGTCGTCATGCCTTCAATTGTGTCCACAGAAGCGAATCCTTCTAAACAAGCGACCACTAAATCTTATAATCAAGTGCCATGCAGTTGAAAAGTGCCATTGATTAAGTTTTGGATTTTCTTTCAATAATTTGCAGCTTTCGATAATAAGTGCGCTTTATACAGCTTTCTATATCGGAAAAGATTTCCGACTTTTAAGTTGTTTTTCTTCCACGTAAACAGGAAGAGAAATTTCAATTCGTTTTTGGAAAACTGCAGTTGAACAAAAGAATTTCAGGAAATTGGTTGCAATTTTCCGCTAAAAAACAAATCCATGTTAATTGGACTATATTGTGAAAACAATTTTTTTATCATGATTTCTACCGAGAATATGCACCAGATTACCATTTATTCAAAGTAGACACACTTATTATTCAGGAAAAAAGTACATAGCGTGAACTCTGAAGGACGACTGGCCATATAATTACACTCTTGTATCGTTCTGAAGGAGTAATGTGAAAGGCTTCGCCTCAAATGGCACAGCTTTACAATATTCAATCAAAACTTTATTTAATAATTAAGATCGTTGGCATTTAGGATGCTGAAAAGCAACAGTTTCCTCTTCACTTTCATATATATAGTGATCGTCTTATGGCATTTCCATCCATTCGACTGTTTCGAGTTTTATTGCTGTTATTATGCAATAAAGCGTTAAAATCTAGATGGTACCGACATAAACTGGCTGATTATCTAGTGAGGAAGGCAATTTTCTGTACTTTTACGAGTCATGTTCAATTAGGGCCAAGAGAATGGAAAAGTGGGAACCTTTAAACTTGTGAACTGAAAGCCAAAAAAACTTGCCAATTCTGAGGATTTGCAATCATTGTCTTTGAACTGCTAATTTTCACGTAGAGATACGAAATTTTTCTCAAATATCTAATCAAATCTAGTTCCGCAAAGCAAATATTTATTGTCCAGTCAGTGAAATCAATCAAAGTTGAACGTTTACAGATCAAAAATAAGCGAAAAAACGGGAAATTACGAAATTGCTTTCACTATCAAGAAATACATTCTTGCCTGAATACCGTCTGCGGTTGGAATTGGAACGATTTTTTTAAGTGCCAGCCATTATCGTTGATGAATCCATTCAATCAATGTTTTGAGTAGTTTGAAGAAACGTCTTGATTGACATAGTGAATCTCAGGAAATATTCGCTATTCTTCAGCGTGTCAATAACTCGAGATTAATATTGATCGAAGCCAAACATAGAAATTACCTCAGTGATCTACATGAAAGAGCTTGCGGCCCTGAACAAGCCGATAAGCAAATCACTCAATAGTTTTTCCCAAGGAATTAATAAAGATGGAATAAACGATCTACAATACAAGCAAAATTCATTAGACGATTGCGTAAAAAGTTCCGTTCGACTAGTTTATTATTGCATCAA